ATTTTATTATTGATCATGATTATTTATTGTTTTTATTAAAATATTTTAATACTAAGGTTTTTGTAACAAGCAGACATTTTTCTTCTCTTTCATTCCTACCTTACCCGGCGACGGGACGAAAATGTTCTGTGTGATCGCGTCGCACTTGTTACACTTTAGAACCGAATGGAACACAGCATAGGATGGTGGACACATTTTTAAGCGTGTATCATTGATTGACAGTGAAGTTTATTACAATCGTGTTCGGCCCATTGTGTTAGACTCGTTTATACGACACTGAGGAGAATCTGTTGTAACTAGGTCTAGCTGATTTCTGGTATGCCCCGGCGTTCATTGGAAGAATGAATGACGTTTGTGCTAGAGAAGCTGTGACAATATACGTACATGCTGCATACGCTACGTATAGAAAGCAATAGTACAAAGTTCTACCTGACGACAGATTATATTTCGTACAGCATCTGTTTTGTACATCGAGCGACAAATACAGTCAAATATACTAATTTTCCATAAAGTTCACTACATTCTTGGCCGATTAAAAATGTCATCTACCCTATACTGATGTTACACCGCAATATATATATTGAACATGTTCTGCGATTAGTATCTACAATATCTTTTACCAGTTTTACAAACGATGAAGCTGATGTCAGCGTAGTTTACTATAAATCGAAAAACATTTTGTAAAGTTTCATGTGCATACTTTCAGGTCTCTGCAGTTTGGCACAGGAAAGAATAATGAATTAGTGACAATACTGATGTTACATAATATATATATTGAACATGTTCTGCGACATAGTATCTACACTATCTTTTAGCAGTTTTACAATCATGAAACATTGGAGCAACTGATGTCAGCGTAGTTTACTATAAATTGAAAAAGAATAATGAATTAGTGACAATACTGATGTTACACAATATATAGTACCTACACTATCTTTTAGCAGTTTTACAATCAAACGATGAAGCAGCGTCAGCGTAGTTTACCATTGAAAAATTCATTTTGTAAAGTTTCATGTGCAATCTTTCAGGTCTCCGCAGTTTGGCAGAGAAGAACAATGAATTAGGATCAGTGACAATGTAAGTTTGATGAAGCGAGAGAAACACAAGAGGATGAAACCGCTGGCGAAGAGGAGAATCAGCCGCGCTTGGCGTGATCTAGGGTTAAAATAATTTCATTCGGATCGCGGTGTGAACGACCCACGCGATACAGGTGCCAGCATGCACCTCTCGTCCTGTAAATTTTTGCAATGATAAACGGCCATACGGGTGTCGCAACGCGTTATGCACCCACTCGCGTATATAAGAGCAAGCCCGTCGTTCCGCCGAGTACTTGAACTTGAAAATCAACGAGCGAGATGGCCTTCGCGTTAGAAACAGTATTGCTGGCCGCGCTGTGTATGGCGCACGGGTGGGACATGCAGGATACGGAAATCGTTCTGTTACCGTTATGGAACACGGAAGACCGTACGGAGGTAGACGTTTATTACACTCGTTAATAAAACATCGTCGGCACCGCGCTTACTCGGGATCAACATTGAAACGTTGACGGCGGTATTCGTTTGACGCGATCACTGAGAATCTCTATTGCGAGTAGTAATATTTATTCTTTAACACTTTTACGGGCTATTGTACGCAATGTGTTAATCCTCGCGAGGATACAAACTAGTACAAAAGTTTAACCCTTTGTACTCGGAAGTTTCTAGAAATATTCAACACTTTCTGACGAGACGAAGACGATATTCTTCGAAGCTAACTCGAAGGGAGATTAGAAGTATATTGAGGGACGAAGCTATTTGTTCCAATATTTCACGTATCGAGGCGTTATACAAAGTTCAACGTTAACAGGTTTACGGGCATTTATTGTACACTTGATTCTATTGTTCCTAAGAGTATTGATGCTCGTTTATTTAGATTGAAACTGGAGATTCGATAGTAGGTAATTGGGGTACATTTAGAAAATAGTATTTCTAAAATTCAATGTCAATTTGACGCGTTCCGTAAAGAATGCCGTGGGGTCACCGGTGACCAAATCGGATTACTATAGTTCAGTGAAACTGAGTATTTGAAAAGATTTGTAAATTCAATCGAACGATTCAACCCTTTGAACTCCAAAAATTAGTCACTAGAAATATCTATTTTTATGAGATATAGATGACATTTTTTTCAACTAACTTAAAGAGGAATCTATTCACGTATCGACAGATTACTCAGGACTTAAAGTTAAATATGAAATTTTACAATTTTGATACATCAATCAATTTGGAGTGCAAAGGGTTAATATTATCCTTTCCATTTTGTGTATTTCTCTATGAAATCCTGTGGCATTCAACGTGTTGATGATTTAGTACAGTCAATAGAATATGAATTAGTCGATAGATTATGAATTAGTCAATAGATTATGAATTAGTCGATAGATACAGCTTCTAGAGTTTCAATGTGAAAATTTGAAAAGGTCAATTTCATTGCTTAGGCAGTTGTCATTCAGAGTACAATGTTGTATCTCCGACAGAGATAGAAGAGACACTGTCAATGAAACGCTACCGTCAATATTTACAAGCAACAGTCAGCGCACGCCGTTGAATTCCGAGTTATTAGATACTTCCCTGATTCGCGCGTGGACGAATTGCAGGTACCGCTAAGCTTTAAGGCCTTCGATCGGTCGGTCGACCTGAGGCTACGCAGAAACGACAAAATCGTGGCGCCCGGTTTTCAAGTTTGGAAGCACAACGAGGAAGACAACGCGGAGGAGCTGCCGGAACTCGGAAAACCTTCTCCGTGCCATTATCTGCACTGGAACGACTTGAGTTCGGCGGCCATCAGTCTCTGTAAGGAACAGGGCATGGTCAGTATCGCTCGAGAGGCAAGTTGACGCTAGAACTACCAGATCGAACTGACTTGTTTCTGATTCATTCTGTTGGAATTACCGAGTAGGATACCTCTGCGAGAAATTATTCTAATTAACCAGTTAACTGTGACGAGTATACACGTCATCTTAAAACTCTTAATGGTGCTAAGTTTTTCAACGATGGATTATTTATTTTTTCAGACAAACATGTAATTCTTCGTTAGGATATATTTCATTATTTGATTTTATTGCGCGCACAATGAGAGATTTTTCGAAGTTCCACACTTAACTGGTTAAATAAATTGAACTCGATTGAAATCTTAACGCGTTCAGGGATAATGACAATTTTAATGAGCTGTAGAAGCAGAAAAAATGCAAATTTGGTTCTCCGAGAATTAAAATGCATGAGAATTTCAACAAATTAAGGCTAAGAATTAACTCTTTGCGGACGAATGTCGTTTTAAAGAGATGAAATTTTTGTATTTGAAAGACTAAGTCGCGAGCAAGTAATTTAACCCTTTGCACTCGAGAATATTTTTCTCAATAAATATTCACTATTTTCTGATGAAATGTCAATGATATTTTTTGCAATTAACATAAAGATATACCTTGCATAAATTAAGCATAAATTAACTCAAAGAGAAATCACAAGTGAATTGAGAAACAAAGCTCTTTTATCCCAATATTTCGCACACCGATGCATTATACATAGTTCAATATTAAATATCAAATTTTATAGTTTCACTGCATCAAATCAAATGACTGAGAATCACCTCTCGAGTGCAAAGTGCTTATGGTTCTATAAAGAACTTCGTAAAAGTCAGTTTAAATGATCAGTAGTTCTATCGTTAACGCGAATGCCGGGTCACCGGTGACCCCACAGCATTCGTGTCACTATCACATTCCTTCCATCTCGTACACCTCGTACAAAATGGCGCGTCCAACGTGAACAGAATGACAAAGTCCACTCAAACTCGTCCTTCGCAGCACGGTCTCGTGTTCCTGGACAACGTCACATTCGAGATAACGCCGCTGCAGCCCGAGGAGGTCTCATTCTTCGGCGAGCACCGGAAGCATCGTTCAGAGTCGTTAGGAGAGCCGCACGTGGTCAAGAGAGCGCAGTCGCCGGACGTGTTCCTCGAGAACGACCTGGAACATTACGAACATGAGTCCCCAGAAAAAACAGATTTCAACGAGCAAAAACCGAAGAAGTTCAAAGGGAAGAAATCCGACAGGGCTCTAACTTTAGAGCTCGCGGTGTTCCTGGACGAGGCGGGTTACAACCTGTTCGCGCCGTTCTTCGACCGGAGCGACAAGGACTTGCAGGACATGATGCTGGCGTACGTGAACGCCGTGCAGGCGATCTACCACCACCCCAGTCTAGGCGTCACCATCGACATCTCCCTGGTGCGGCTGGACCTGATGCAGAAGCAGCCGCGGGACCTGCCGCACTTCGACGGCGACAGGGGCAGCCTGCTGGACTCCTTCTGCAACTACGCGATGAAGAGGAACCCTCCGGACGACTTCGACCCCGGTCACTGGGACATGGGTCTGTACGTGTCCGGCTTAGACTTCTACGCGACGGAGGCTGGCCAGAAGAACAGCGCCACGATGGGGCTGGCGAGCGTCGGCGGGGTGTGCATAGACCAGTACTCCTGCGTGATCGCGGAGCTAGGCGTGACCGACCGGTACGGGAAGCCGTTTCCCTCCGCCGGGTTCACGTCCGTCTACATCGCCGCGCACGAGATCGGCCACAAGTGAGTACGCAGGGTAAGGACGCTGAAGGATGCTATTCGTTATTCCATCGCTGAAACCGTTCTGAAGTCTAGGAATGCATCACGACTCGACGGGGAACGCGTGCCCCAAGGACGGCTACATAATGTCCCCCAGCAGGGGGACGCACGGCGAGACGGCGTGGTCGGAGTGCAGCCGGGACGTGGCCGAGAGGCTCACCTACGCGAAGCCCTGCCTGCAGGACAGGCCGGCGGGCAGGCCGAGCGGCCGGCTGGATCATACGCGGTTCTTCGATCTGCCGGGAAGGGAGTGGACGGCGAAGAGGCAGTGCGAGGTGCTGCTGCGCGATAAGGACGCCACGGTGGCAACCCTGTACAGAGCGTGCGAGGCGTTGCAGTGCAAGACGCCGCACCGGAGCGGCTACTACTTCGCTGGACCGGCGTTAGATGGAACCCAGTGCGCGCCGGGCAAGGAATGCCGCGGCGGCGAGTGCAGGAACGCGTTGCAGACTCCTCCGGGAGCGGGCGGGCCTCAGGCGCAGCCCGGAGGATGGAGCGAGTGGCGGCCTGGTCCCTGCAGCAGCGGCTGCCTGCTCAAGTCGACCGGCGCGCAGGTCAGGCGACGGTTCTGCGGCTCGAGGAGCGCGGGATGCGGAGGACCGGCGTACGACGTTTCCCTCTGCAGGGACGACAGGCTGTGCAAGAAGCGTAGGAGCGCCGTCGAGCACGCGGCGCTTAGGTGCGGCGAGTTCGCCGAGCGGCTGCCAGAATTGGACGCGAAGGGTGGCGGGCTGCAGGCGCCGCACGAGCCCGAAAGGCCATGGATGGCCTGCGCTATATTCTGTCGGCGGAAAGACATAGCGTCTTATTACACGCCGCGTGTGGAATTAAACGACCTTGGCCTTGACCCATACTTTCCAGATGGTACGTGGTGCCACGCCGAGCAGGGACAAAATTATTTTTGTCGGCAGCATCATTGTCTGCCGGAGAACTTTCGTTTCGAGAAAACGACGACGCCGCCGAGCGGCCGTCAGCGGGACGACGCGCTGTTCGGGCCCCAGAACGCGCATCCCGGCGGGCTGCGGCTCGACGAACAGGTAATCAAGTATCTCAGCCTGGGACCGGACGGTCTGCCGCTGTTGACCTCTTTGCCGCACGGTATTGGATTTCCGCCGGATGACGACGAATGGATCGATAAAGATTACGTCGAGCTCACCAGCACCGCGCGGACCGAACGATACCTGACCCCTTAAGGCGAGGTTTAGATCTGATTTTGGAGGTATGGGCTGTTGGGACCCCTGGAAATTGATGGTATAGGTGGTTGGTGTGAATAGGGGTTGGGCTAACCCTTTGCACTCGAGAGGTGACTGAGAGTCGACACTTGATTTGATTTGAGAAATTATGAAGTCTTATAATATTAACCCTTTGCACTCGAGAATATTTTTCTCAATGAATATCCATTATTCTCTGATGAAATGCAATATTTTTTGCAATTAACGTAAATACCTTGCATACGTTGAGTGGCAGAACTGTTTCATTTCGATGTTCCATGTGTTCGTACATTGTATAAAATTTAATATTGAATTTTTAATTTTACAATTTTCTTGGGTCAAATCAAATGGCGACTGAGAGTCGACACTTGATTTGATTTAAATTATGAAGTCTTATATATTAACCCTTTGAACTCTGTCTCCAATATTGCACCAGTTATAATATTAAATATTGCAATGAATCTAGAAGAATCTACCCTAAAATTATTAGATTCTCACACATCCAAATTCTGCACTAAGAAGGAAAATAGATCATTTTCACTAGGAATACTGTAAAATTTAGTTGCAATTGTTGATAGATTACAAAACAACCTGGAGTGCAAATGGTTAAGCTTTGTATGATGCATCAATACGTGGAACATTGAAATAAAATAACTTTCCTTCTTAATTTATATGTCTGTATCTGAATATTGAATATTTCTAGAGAAAAAGTTTCGAGTGCAAAGGGTTAACACTGGACTACCACTTGACACGTTCGCTACTGGTGCTTTCGGTGACTATATATTCTCTTCAATGCAATCAGTCTCGTAAACAAATTAGATAAACGAAACTGAGACGAGTCATCGAGTACCTAATGTAGTTTGTAATTTTTAATATCTATAGGATTCATTTCATTCTTGTGGACAAAGGTCATCACAAATGTGCTGGTCTTTTTAAAATTTCGTAAAAGCGTGAATTTGATTTCTTCAACGATTTCTCAGGGGATCCGTACTTTCCAGTAATTGTGAAAGGAGAAATTAGGAATCGGTCATTGCGATCCACTCGGTAGTTCTACTGTTAACACATTGCGTACGAGAAATCTCGGTTTCATATAAATACACCTAGCTATGCAACTTCGCTAATTAGCACAGCATTGGAAAAAATATAAAATTTAATTCGAATTGATTATCTGTTTAAAATATATTACATAACAATATGATATCTGAGTTTTCCTAGTAACGCAAGTTGACCAATTGTTTTCTAAAAATTAGCCGGTACGCAATGTGTTAGACCATGGGAGCAACGTTTTGAGAGATCGTGAATTATCCGTCGCTTCATTCAGAACGTTCGGTGAATTTGATTCCCCGTGGTACATGCGCAATGCACATTCTGGATCATTCAAAAAGTCAATAATGCCCCGGGTACACGCGACTGCAACGATACGAGCGTTCACAGACGTTTATCCGAGAAATAATGGATCTCGGTTGGGACTCGTGTCAATGCCTCGATACATTTGTATTTTTGAGCTGTCCACCTACTCGCGTTCCTGTTATCCGAGTTATTATTATCTAATCCCATGTTCGTCCGCGTATCGTGTATAAATACGATTACGTCCAGGAGTATATCGGAAAGTTGGGTACCGCCGGGTCGTTCTCCGTTGGAAAAGTATGCGAGGAGAAAAAGTGAGAAGAGGCGAGAGGGGCAATATGAAATTTATATAAATATGCGTGCACGTATTTGCATCGAGAGAGAGAGAGAGAGAGAGGGAGATTCTACAGTTTCACCATGCAGTTGTGTGTGAAAGTATCTCGGGAGATAGGACGATGACGTCACCTACTTCGGTGTCTATTTTAGGAGTGTCCCGACGTTATATCCAGCATAGGAGCGAATCGAGAAACAAAAGGATGAAATAAAAGAAATCATACAGAGAGCGTGTGTAACTTAATTGTATCGATATTATTTTTAGCGTACAAATAATTAACCAACCATTAAAATTAAGAAAACGCACGACATAAGAAAACAATCAGCCCGATATTACAAAGAGTTACTTCTTAAGACGCACATACTGCTATTCCATATGACAAAACGTTCCACAGATCATCGTGAACGCGATGAAAACGTCGATATCTTAAAAATCTTGCTTTAGAATATTTTAAGACTATAATGTGTTTCTTTCTTTCTTTTTGTTTTTTTTCGTTTTTCCCTTTTTTTTCGCTTTACCATGTATACTTTTATATTATTCGATAATAACAAAAGGAGAATTTTTAGTCACGATACATGAGTAATGATGAGACAAGTATTATATGCAATGATTTTGAACACAATGATGGTGGTTCAATTTGTCATATTTCTGCAGTGATTATCACTCACACATGACAGGCATTTGCATACATTTATGCTATTTAACATAATACATATCATTCGCACAAGTATCCATTCTCTCCAACACATATACAGACTACATACTCTGAATGTACATGATGAACGAATTTGAATTTCATTCATACAGAGTTGCACTGCAACAAACGCTCACCATTAAATCGCATATAACTTAATGTAATATATTTAATCTTAGTCAGTATTTAGGATCTTTCTTTCCACATGAGGAGGCTAAGTACATTCCATCGTACGGAGAAAGCTAATTATCCCTCGTTTACACGTGTTTTTTTCTCTTTTCCGTTTGAAATTCTAACGAAAACAAGTCTGCATAAATCCAAATCAAGAAAACTGATTTTTGTTTTTTTTCCGGTTTACATTTGGCGAACGCGAAGATTACATTCTCTTCCCTAGCCATATGATAAAATTATTATTTACCTTGCCTCGACAAATATCTTTCACAGCTCTCTCTAACCACGCGTTACGCGTATTGGTACAAACACGCGTGTTTACTCTCGTCAATCGGGACGATTAGAGGACTGTCGTTGTGATGACAATTATTTATATATTTTCTTTTCTCCAATTTACGCATTCAATTTGGCAGGGTGTCGTACAATATGTCCTTAGCACTTTGTGATAACGTGTCAGGGAACTTTATATCGAACGATACCAGAAGATCGCCTTTCCTTGATGGTTCCTTCGGGAATGGTAGGCCGTGACCTTGAATCCTCTGAATCAAATTTGGTTTAACAATTTTGCTCGTCAGATTGACGGTGATCTTCTCGCCGGTAAGCGTAGGAACTTCGATGATAGTGCCGCATAACGCTTGTTTTAAACTCAATTTGCAAGTGTATCTTAGGTCGCTGCCCTCTCTTCTGAACAATGAGTGTGGCTTATCCCTGATGATGAAAACGATGTCCGCTGGGACTTTCCCACAGCCTTGGTCTCCTTCTTTCTGGAAAGTGATTTTGGTGCCAGCCTTCCATCCTGGTTTTACGTTGATCGTTAGAACTTTGTCTTCCCTCTTGATGGATCCGTTAGGTTGCATAACCCTCCTGGAGATCTTCATCTTCTTCGTACAGCCAGTCAGAATTTCCTCCAAGCTGATACACAAGTCGTGTTCTATAGCTGGATCTTGAACACGGTCCTTAGCTCCTCCCCTGCCTGTTGGCTCCACAAAGTTGAACGAATGCGACCTGAAGGCTCCACTCTGGCCAGGTCCGCGTCCGCGTGCACGTTGTGGTCCAATCCCCAGACCAAGCGGGTCACTCAGATCCATGTCATCATCGTTGAAATTGAATACCCTATTTCCTAATGGATCACTAAATTCGAAGAAGGTTTGGAAGGGATTCGTAGAGCCAAAGAATTGAGCAAACGTTGCTTTAGGATCTCCATGGTAAGTGTACGTTGTTCCACCTCCAGCTCCTCCGGCCGACCCAGCTCCTCCCTTCAATCCTTCTTCACCGAATTTATCATAGACTTCCCTCTTCTTTGCATCGGATAACACCTCATAAGCCTCCGCTATTTCCTTAAACTTCTCTTCCGCATCTGCACTTCTGTTCTTGTCAGGATGGTACTTCAGTGCTAGCTTCCTGTAAGCCTTCTTGATCTCATCGTCTGTGGCACCTTTGTTTATGCCTAATATATTATAGTAATCCTTCCCCATCGATTAATAATCTGTAACAATCGGAAAGAGGCATGAAATTGATACGGTTGCCCTTTAACGATCAACACTTAATACGTACATAAATTTACATGCGCGTCAAAGAACCGAATGACTTTCAATGAACTATATGGCGTGCTTTCCTTCTTTGCATTGAACGTTCTCAAAATTAGCAATTCAAAGATCCTATCAATGACACACCGCACACGTTCAGCTTTTCTTATAATTGTTAAATTACGTTTAATCTCTTTATATGGTATCCCCGCAATTTGTCGTGAACTTCAATTATGCGCACTTATTTCAATCTACTCAAATTGTTTCCTATTAAACCGCGAACGGCACCGACGAGCGTGAAACACAATTTTACTTGTACGTCCGCTTTTTCGTGAAAACGCGGGCCACGGATACATCATTGGCTCCGTTCGAAATCGTTTGGTACACGCCAACACCGTAATATAGATTATATTATCTGCCCTATTCGGCATGTTATTACATCATTGTAGTCATATTCCTCGGGGGTCCATGCAGTGTGTTACACGAACGATTTCGAAAACGTCGTTCAACGCAACGTGACCATAAAAGTACGGCTCTTTCAGAAGTTTCAAGTACGACCTGGACATCAAGCCGCGAAAACTTTTTTCCATCTCTCGCGGATTACCTTCGGCGCAGAAATATTCTTTTTTTCTCTCTCTCTCTCTCTCTCTCTCTCCCTCTCTCTTTCTCTCTCTCTCTCTCGCTCGTGCACGTGATACGATTACGAAAATTCCGCTTATCTAATTCTCCTCATGAAAATCGGGATTCTTCCGTATGTGACACGATTAGCGCAGCATCAAAGTTTACCAACCTAAGACACACGAAATTTCTAAAAGCGATCGGTTCCCCGAACTTGAGATCCTTTTCCCCTCCGCCTGCGCTCGCACCTTACAACGAGGCAATCGCTTTTAAGGCTGCATTGCGCGACCCGTATATTCCCCCTGCGATCATGAAAACAACTAATTACGAGTCGGCTAGATGAGTTTCGAGGCTCGGAGCATCGGAGGAACGGCGTTTTCGGCTAGACTAAGCAGCAGTAGCTCGTGTCGACGGAAGCCTCGTTACATTACTATGCGACCAGGGCACAGGTGCAGTTACACATCGAAGGTATCCGGTTAAACGATACCAACGGTTCGCAAATTTTTTTCTCTTTTTTTTTACGTATGCATGGGAAAAGGAGCGTGGATATCGTTCTAACGCACACACCTACGTACATATCTCACCGATATCTATTTCTGGCAATGATGAGCGTGTATAAGCGACGAACGTGTCCGCTGTTACAGGCTTACAACGATTTCGAGCGAGCGTAAAAATAAATTGAACCGTGTCCACGATGCTTGTTCCGATCTCTCCACCTTGAAAATTTCTCTGGTAAAACGATACGGCGTACC